ACTTAAAGACTAGGCATAATTTAATTCATATGCTGGTCAGTGTTTCAGAAGTGTCTCGTACAGAATCTAATTAACTTAAATAGTGACAAAATATAAAAGTTCAGAAGATAATTAACGCATAAAGTAGATGCCATCATATATCGACTTACCATTTTGCCCGATGTTTTTGGATTCGTTTAGCGGTGAACTCAGCCTGTCACGCTGAGAGAGAGAGAGAGAGAGAGAGAGAGAGAGAGAGAGAGAAGCAACCCTCATGAATATATATCAAGCGCGCGCCGTACGTATTGTACGTGACATTTAAAGGTGTAGTATCATTGTTCCAGGATGACAGAAAACGTAGAGAACAGGGTACACAACGCGATAAAATATAATTGCATTACTGTAAATTACAGGCACATGAAATTGAGAAATGGATAATTTAAATATTTTAAACGGTTTCCTTCATATAAAGCAGGCATTCGACCAGCAGGTGGCGCTTCGTCACTAAATTCACAAAGCCTCTGTTATAATGGCTCCAAAGTCTTGCAAACTCTGATTTACGCAATATCAATCACTTATTTTTTAAGGTTCTCATGATTGGACAGTATGGAACTGTGGGTAAAAAGTGATGCTAAAGGCGATGGGGATGTAAATCATATATTTGACAGATCGTGTAGGCTACGTGATTAGTATATTGATGTGGAGATACTGTAGGCTGTGTTTTGGTTGGAATGAAGTAATCAAAATCTCAGAGGGGGAAATTGCAGGTTAGACTCCATATGAGTTGGTTCCTGCGTCTGTTCCCAAACGAGGCTGTGTGGAACAGACGCAGCCTTCACAATAACAAGCACTGTATAAAAGTCTTAAATCATGTAATTTTCACAACTTACTTTTAAAACTGTTTTATGGAGTTTTTGTCTACTTAAGTTTTCAGATAGATATTTCCCTGATAGCACACTACATCTCGGGGACGTCTATTTGACGTCTGCATTTACATCTGCAAGACATATTTTTTAAGAGTGTTTGGTCATCTGCAATATGTCTATAGGACGTTTCCTATCAGATGTCAAATAGATGTTTATTAGATGTCTTTAAGGTGTTTTTGATTTAGGATATATGTAAAACTGTCAGATGTTTGTACACAGCAGATGCTTTCCAGATCAAGAGATCTTTAACAGACATCTTGCAGACGTACGTATGGGTTCGTCAGCGAAACAATCGGTATGTTGTTAATCATTGAAAGCACTGTAATTCTGTCCCTCACAGCCTCATTTCCATGTCAAAAATGAAAATGGCTCTAGGCTATGTGTTAGGGCCTATTACATTTCAACTGAGGATGCTCAGATTTGGCAGAAGTAGTTTAGCATTATGCCTACCTGCCTATGGCATATATGAAAAGGTCAGTCTCTGTTCATGGAGTTAGTGTACGTTTTAAAAGTTTTTTTATATACCTTTGAAAAATGTTTAAAAGCTTTCAAATTATGATTAAGATTACTTTTTACTTAGAGTGACTATTTTGAAAATGGTGTAAACATTTTTTTTTTTGAAAATGTATACAATTTGTATAAAGACATTTCTAAGAACTTGACACTTTTTTTAAACAGAAATTTTTAACGATTTCACCTTTTTATTATCACAGACATCCTTATTCATCAATGACCTTTTAAACTTAGGATGTTTAACACCCACAAACATCCCTGTAGCACCAGTCCTGCCTGCAAGATTCACATTCAATGGTAGTCCTGTAACCTGGAAAAAGCTGGCAGATAAAGTACGTTACAGCTGGATTGAATATGTGATTCAGCACATTGCATGCTTTGGCTGGGTCATGCATTTGCTTCGAAGCCAAGGGCATAAGAGCAGCTTGATGCATGCACTCAACTATAATGACAGATTTTGCACTTCAGAGTGAGAATGTTTCATTTCTAAACGCTTTGTGCTCTATTTTTGTTTGTCTTGCAGCCTATTCTACAGGTTCGCGGGGCTGGCGCATCCAGGTGGTTACAGCGCCCACATGGATTGCATGTGAAGTAGAGAAAAAAAGTATACAATTGCATTTGTGCTCTTACCATCTATGTGACAACAATCTTCACTGTTGTTGAGAGGTGTACGGGAGGAAGAAGAGACTGCAACCACGTCAAGGTCACAAGTTCACTGAATACAACCATTTTAATCAAACCGAGAACAGACAGTTTTTTGGACAGTGACACAATAGGACACCATCAGTCTGTCTTGAGATGAAATCAAAGTGACAGAAAAGAGCGACTTGGTCAGGCGCATGAGCCTTCAAACCGTCTGAGTGGCTAAAAAGTATCAGTCAATAAATGAAGTGAGCTGAAAATTTTTTTTTCAGTCGGCGCATTCATGGGATGTTGGTTACGGCTGCTTATGCTTAGTTAAGTACTTTTCAGTGTCACTGGCTAAGTAAAAAAAGATAATTATTTTAATGGTAAAAATGGTATGGTAAAAACCTGTCAATTGGTAACCCGCAAGTTCATTTCATTTAATTTTACAGTAAAATACCGTTAAATGTAGTTTTTGTAAGTGAAAAAGAAAAGAATAATTCATCTTATAATTTGCAGTGAAAAAATTCTGACATTCTCAGAATTCTCTTTGACAGCTCACATTTAGTTTCTTCTTCATTTTTTCTTTGGCGTTATATGGTTTTATATTACATTCCAGATAACAAAAATGTGTTCTATGAATGTTTTGCTAGCATTCCCATTAAGTTATGAAAATGTTATTTCGGAATGTTCTCTAAACATTCAGAAGTCCAGCTTTTTAATGTTTTACAGTTTTTTTGGTTATGCAAACGGTGAGAGAACATTTTGTTTTATCATTATGCAGACGAACCTCCAACTAAAACGTTTCAGAAAAAACTTTCCATAAACGATGTATTAATAATTTCTTTGTGCTTTTGAGAATAGTATTGAAGACCTGTTATCTTTGAACAAACATTGCATTCGTTCGTATAACTTCTCACCGGAGATGGATATTTTTCTTACACAAATGTGTCGATTCACTTCAGAAGGCCTTTATTAACCCCCAGGAGCCATGTGGAGCACTTTTTATGATGGATGGATGCATTTTATTGGACTTCAAAATCTCAACGCCCATTCACTGCCATTATAAAGCTGGGAAGAGCCAGGACATTGTTTAATATAACTCTGATTGTATTTGTCTGAAATAAGAAAGTCATATACACCTAGGATGGCTTGAGGCGGAGTGAGTAAATAATGGTAATTTTAATTTTTGGGGAGAACTATCCCTATAAAATATTGCTTAAAATGAAAAAAAAGTGTCCAATATTTTCAATTAGGCCTTAATAGAAACACATTCGAAGCCTCTTAATTTGCCATTGATTTTTGCCTAACTGTGATGTTTCAAAAAGGCTTTCATTTTAGTAAACAATACTTTTACGGAAAAGACACTGATGTATTGAAGAAGAGGGGGAAACATCCAGGAAAACCGTCCGTCCTTCAGTTTTCCTTCAAACTTTCCCTGAAATTGACACACCATGTAGAAATTCCACAGTCTAATTATGTCTCTTGTGGAGAGGTACGTGAGTGCTTTGTAAAATGGTGGCTGATGCTTTGAACCGTGTGCGTGACGCTGCTAACTTTGATGGCGAGTAAGCGCAGTGGACACACGTAAATCTGATGGTGCCATTAATGCCTGTTTAAAGTTCCCCTGCATACAAATGACATTGTGCCTTAATTGATGACTGAATCTATGCTTGCTAATGAAGAGTAAGCAAAGAAAAGGCTCTGGTAAATTTCAACAAAGCCTATCTGATACACGATAGATCTCCTCTGAGAATGAGAACTGATTCTTTAAAGCTACAGCCTACACAATAGATGATTCCTAGTAAATCACGATAGCTTTCAAAGCTGGATGGGCCTGTTCAGCTTCAAAGTTTTGTGTGGCAGGTGATGAAATAAGAGTAGATGGAGATAGACTTGCTTTAAGAGAAGACACACTGTGCCTGATGAGATGATAGTTGTTCCTGCGTGACTCATGAACAGGCTAAGAACAGGTCTTTAGTGTTCAGAAATAAATACAAAAATTATGCCAACAGTCAAGTCTCGTAAAGGCGGACAAGCAGTAGCCAATATTAGATAAATAAAAACAAAACAAAATAATCTGGTGAAGTCAGAAAAGTATAATTTTAATACAAAAATTATAATTGATAATAATTAAAAGAATTTTTTTTTTTACATTGTATAAATAGCAATAATAATATTGTATAAATATATATGCATGACTCAAAACAGCTCAGATGGCAACATATCTTTACCATTCAAAAATAAAATGAATAATAGTCTGGTGAAGTCCGAGAAGCAGTATAATTAATAATATAATTAGTTAATAATTATTCAAATGATTAGAAATCAAATAAAAATAATAAAAAGTAATTACACTGTAAAACTAATAATAATAATAGCAATGTATATATGCATGATTCAAAACAGATCTTTACCATTCAAAAACAATAAATAAAAAATACATTGAAAATAATTACTTTTTACAACTAGCAATAATAATTATACTGTTTATTATGTATATTATACATTTCTTGATTATCAAAACTGTGTGAAAGGTCGAATTACGTCAGACAGAAGGGAAAATATGACCTTTGAACTGGCTCTGCATCAGGTGCTTTCCCATAACAAATGCCTGAAACTCTTACTTGCAAGTGCACTGAAACATTGAAGTAATTCTAAGGAATGATTTTTTTCGGGGATGAGAAGGGAAGTGTGGTTCGCTGTTGAGCAAAAAAAAAAAATGCAAAAAAAAATGTGAGTTTGCCCTTTTGATGCACTTTACCTGGTATGACGCGAGCTGATTATATGATTGCTATAGATTTTTACTTGATAGTGTCTAACACAGAAGCTGCAGTATGTTTGGCTGAAATACAAACTGTGCTATTTCTCCAGGGTGTTCCCACATTTTTTTTTATCTTACATCCCAACAAAGAACAGCCAATCAAATGCAGAACTGAGGATGATGACCTGATTGTTGCGTTGGAGTTCGAACTTTGTCCTGGGTGAGCAGAGGGACAAAGACAGAGTAAGGATTGACAGATATTTTGGTTTTGCCCCATTTTTGGCGTTTTTTCAAGGATATTTTAGACCGCGTTACCCCTGGGTCACAGTAATGGAGCACTATTCAGACCAGGCAAGTCCTAATGTTTTGAATTTGAACTGGTTTTGCATGAGAAATTAGTATTAAACGTAGCCTGTGTTATCTAGTCTGCCTGTGTAATATCTCATACAGAGCACAGTTCAGAAAAATAGAAAAGTTATCTTGGTTCAACATTTGCTTGCTTTTTAACTGTTTTGGTGCTTTGGTCCATTTTCTGTCTTTTCCATTGAATCCCAACAAATGATATATACAACAATTATATTCACTATCTCAGGGTGGTGAAGGGTTAGAACTACTTGATTTGCTCTTTGATAAGAATGACGGCATCTTACGGCATGAGACTATGGGACCACAAATCGATCAGCTTTGGCCAGTTCAAGATCCTCATGTAAGTCTGGCGTCTTCCAAGTTTTTTCAATTCTTCGAAGTTTAACATAAAGGAAATGTATTCCCAAAATGAAAATGATCATTTACTTACCCTAATGTCATTCCAAATCTTTTTGTCTTTATTCCTTGTGCAGAACACAAAAGAAGATATTCTGAGGAATGTTTTTGACGAAAACAGTTCTTTAAAATTGTTCAAAATCTTCTTTTGTGTTCCGCAAAAGAAATAATTCAACATCTCATCATTCACCATCCTGTATTCTCGATTGCCAGATGATGATGCCCGCTCAGGGTAAAAAGGACTTCTTCAATGCACTTTTAGGTGGGTATGACTCTGTTTCTGGATCTCCAGTTTGGTCGCCCTCTCCTAGCGACAGCGGAATCAGCGAAGATCCTCATTCGGATCACATCGACAGTCCGCCGCCAACCACAAGCCCTCCTTTGGAGCCTAGCATCGTTGTATCCCAGGCGCAACACAATCTCGACACCAACTTCCCATTTAATTTCAGTGAGTATCAAGTATTCGTGAAGCGAATCTTCCTGGTGACTCGAGACTCTGTAAACACAGATGATTAGCCTCCCCCTTATTGATTCACTGTATTGTGCTCTGTTTTGCTACACGTTCTGAAGATAAGCCGATAAGATCTTAACACACGCAAACAACGAAGGATAAATAGTATTATCTGTTGCTGCAGATGGCTGGGAGACTGGCTTCCTCCCAGACAGGGCCGGAGGGATGCAGCGTGCATCTGAAACACCACAGGCACAACCGAACACTGGATTCCCTCTTACTGTCAAGGACCTGCTGCTATCTGGCACACTAGAGCCTGTGAGTTTGCACTCAGGCATGAAGCTAGGTAAAGCACACATGGCAGAATAGGGAAAAGGTGAACTTGAGTGCAGATAAAAGGTGAACTCGATAGGATTCTGACCATCCAGGCACACAGAGACGTTGATTGGATTTGTTACTTTGTTGTCTATTTGATATTCCAGGCCACAAAGGCGACCCAGCAGTCCTACCAGGAGCTGGTTCTCACAGAGGATGAGAAACGACTATTTGCCAAGGAAGGACTGACTCTGCCAAATCAGTTCCTGCTTACCAAGGTACCGTCAGTTGGCAATTACACCATAATAGTAGAGTGCAGCCAATTGTCTTTGTAGCTCAATGTTTCTGCTTCCCTCCCGTGATCAAGTACGAGGAAAGGATTCTGAAGAAAATCCGCCGAAAGATCCGCAACAAGCAGTCGGCCCAAGAGAGCAGGAAGAAGAAGAAAGAATACATCGACGGCCTGGAGAGCAGGTATCGATGGCTGTGCTCGAACAAATGAAGCAAAAGTGGAAGCTACGTGCGTCGAATGACGGAGTAAAAATCATAATCCGAGTTGATGAAATTTGCAACTACTGAACACAAACCCCCTGGCAAAATACCAGGTGGAAGTTCACTGCTGTGTATGAGAATTAACCTGAGAGTGGATTTGATTGCAACTTGTTTTCTTTTAAATGGTTCTTATGGGAAATCTCTTTTCATAGGATGGTGGCATGCAGCACACACAACCAGGATCTGCAGAGGAAAGTCTTCCAGCTGGAGAAATGCAACATGTGAGGGAATCCTTTACTTGGTAATCTTCACACTCCATTCAGGCTCCTGAAATTGAACTTTTACCCCGCTCTTTCGATTTCAGCTCCCTGATGGAACAGCTGCGTCGGCTGCAGGTGATGGTCATGAATGGAGCTAACAAAACGGCCCAGACTGGGACCTGCATTCTGGTAAGGGTTAAAAGAAGGGATATTAGCACATGAAAGATCTAGGCATTCAGTAATCACGCTTTGGGCATTTAAAATCACAAGCTGCACACATACATAACACATAGCATTTTCTCTGGCACTTGCCACTGTTTTCACTAAGTTTTCTCTCAAAGTCAATGTGTTTTCACCACAAACATCTTTATATCAACACAAAACCAAAAAAGACTCAAACACACATTCTTGGTCTTATTTTGAATGATTTATCAGTACACGTCCTTTCAAAGAAACAGAAAAGGGAAAAAAAAATTGCAGCTGATGTTAAAACTTTTAAACAACCCCCCCCCCACAAAATAAATTATGATTCCTGTGCTAAAATATAATATATCTTATATATACTTATTTATAGAGACGCATTTTTATTGCGTAAGAAAAATACGAAGCATGTTTGCAAAATGTTTATTTTTTTAATGAATTAAACTGGATTCCAATAAATTATTGAAAAATGGTCTGGAAAATATTATCTATGCTTTTAGATGTATAAACCTGAAGAGAAGCATTTCCAATTTGAGCCATTTATTTACAGATTCATGAATAGTTTCAAAGCAATTTTACAGAAAACATTGCCTCAACCCACAACCCACCGTAAGCAATCCAAATTATGTGCCAAGAAAAATTCCCTAGAAAGATGCAAAACAAATACAAACTGTACACTGTAAGGAAAGAAAGATGAAACAAGATTACTTTTTAAAATTTCAAAAAAACAAAACAAAAACCTACTTGAAGATTTGGGTGACACATTTAGGTCCAGTTCTCACTATTAACTTTTGTCTAAATAAACTCCTAATTACTGCTTATTAGTAGTTAAGTAGATATGTTTAAGTGTTGGGTAGGATTAAGGACGTAGAATATGGTCATGCAGAATATGTGCTTTATAAGTGCTAATAAACAGCCAATATGCTAGTAATATGCATGCTACTAAACAGCTAGTTGAGAATTGGTCTCTGTACTTCAGTGCTTCCCATATTTGTTGTTGCTTACTATGTCTATATTTCTATTTCTTACTATTATTTTATCCTGTCACAAGAATGAAATAATCTCAATAATGTCAAGCCTCTCAAAATCAGACTGATATGTTTCAAATGCCAAATTATTTCATTTTAATTATTATTATTATTATTATTTTATTTTATTTTTTTACTTTCTGTTCATGAAAGTATCCTGGAAAAAAAAGTATCATAAAAAATACTAAGTAGCATTGTTTTCATTATGACGCCAATAAAAAGAAATGTTTCTTAAGCACATTTCTGAAGGATTATTTGACACTGAAGGTGGGTGTAATGGCTCATGAAAATTCAGCTTTGTCATTACACAAACAATATTAATTGAAATTGCCATTTCTGGTTGACTTCAATTGAGTAAATGTAAAAAACTGTACATAAGGTACAAAAAAAAAAAGTCTCACACTAAGGTACATTTCATTGTGTCTTATGACTAGTCAAGACTTTGACTGACAAATGCTCTTAAAGGGATAGTTCGCTCAAAAATGAAAATTCTGTCAATAGCTATGTTTCCATCTAAAGATGCAAATTTAACTTATGCGCAAAACATAAAACGCATAAAACATTTGCGAATAAAGCACCGTTTCCATCCAATGAGTCAAAGAGAACAAAATCGTCACTTCCTGATAAACTGGCACTAAATATCTCTAAGAAAACTAGGAGAAGCCACTGAATATAATACTTTGCATATGTAATAAATTACTTGCGCTTCAGAGAGAGCAGACGTAACACAATAAATGCGGCCGTTGCTTTTAGAGGTGGATGCCTGCTGTTTGGGAAAGCAGTCATGTAAGACAGTAATTATACAGAAATACTTTGATGACAGACTTTCCTCAGGCAAAACAACATATAGATGCTGTGAACGAGATCGCTCCGCTGGTTAGTCAATTTATCCCGTCTCATAGCGCCAAATGGTGGAATTTATTCGGTAAATGTGTTTCCATCGTAGTTTGTGTGCATTTTTTCTTATCGGATAAAAAGTTTATCCTACTCAGTTGTGCGCATAAGTATTTTATGCGCATTTTAAGAATTTATGCACATCTTGGCGTTTCCATCCAGCGTTTTTTTAATCCAAAATGTGCATAAAAATAGGTGGATGGAAACATAGCTATTAATTACTCGTTCCAAATCCGTAAGACCTTCGTTCATCTTCTGAACACATATCAAGATATTTTTGATGAAATACGAGAGCTTTCTGACCCTGCATAGGCAGCCATGCAACTGACATGTTCAAAGCCCAGAAAGATAGTAAGGACATTGTTAAAATAGTCCATGTGACAACAGTGGTCCAACCATACATATTTACGGTCAGAAAATTTCATCAAAAACATCTCAATTTGTGTTCCAAAGATGAACAAAGGTCTTACGGGTTTGAAACGACATGAGGGGGAAGTAATTAATGATATAATTTTCATTTTTGGGTGAACTATCCTTTAAAACAGTCATCATTGTTCCTCAACATGAAGGAGTCTTGGGAACTAAATAATCCCATAACAAGAAACTCCGATCTACAGCTACTTGAGAACATACCCCAAAAATACGTTACATCAAAGTTGTGCTTCACTAATGGCCTTCCGTGCTGCTACACTCAAGCTTTCCATCTGCCTCTGTCCCTCAGGTGCTGCTTCTGTCTTTCACCTTGATTCTGCTGCCCAATCTGAAGCCCTTCACAGATACCAAGGTCAGCCAACATGGAGACTTCAGCCCATTGAGAGGTGAGTTTTCTGGCCAGAACATCTCCATCCAGTCCTTGTGGGGAACAAGGGGTTCTTCAATCTGTGTAATGTATCATTTGGTTGACAAGCCATTAGGCTTGGACTGAAACCTTGTGACAGTTATTGGAAGTACTGAGAGAGGTGACGCGGACTGGAAGAATGGCAAACAGCTTAGTCATGTTTCCCACACGCTGAATCAACTGCGTGGAAGAAAAGCTGTAATTTGTCCTCATCAAACTGTTGTCAGTGTTTCTGAAAGGAATCAATTCTTATTCTGCAGGCTAAGCATAGGTCATGGTTAAAGTTTGGTGCACTTGGTCACAGTCTTGTTCGATTAGCGTCCTGTTGAGCACTTCAGCTCTTTTGAAGTGGATGGTTGAAGTTCAGGAATAAAGAACAGGGGAAAATGTGTCACAGAGTGACTTGCATGTTTATATCCTCCACAGACAAAAATAACTTGAAATTCTACTTTCTACTTTCTACTGTACTGTAGCTAGTCAAAACCAAGGTCATCAGTTTGATTATGAGGGATTGACAATATGTATATGTTAAAAAGTGTATAAATATCTTCGCATTATGGGTGTTTCTTAAAATTAGAGCACTTTTGTGTCATAAAGTTTTAATAAAAACTGATTTTTTTTTTTTTGGTCTATGAAGGTCACAAAAGTTTAATCATGCTGTTGCAAATTACATTTGCTACTTTTCAAATGCCCTTCACGTACATATTTTTATTTAACCCTTGTATCCAAAAATATCCAAAATATAAAAAATCCATCATAAAAATATGAATAATTCCACAGAAAAAATATTATAATCTTAATAAATAGTGAGCTATCGATAAACTATTTAATATTTATTTTGTCAAATGTTTTGTATAAATGTTTTTAGGAAAATAGTGGAATCATGTTCACCACGATTTCGCCTCCAATATATTTTTTCTCCTAAAAATTAGTGTACTTGATTACCAAGGAGACAATAGACCCTTTTTCTGTTAGTAAACATTGTGATGTTTTTCTGTGGGTGGAGCTTAGGTGGAGGCAGAAAGATTCCCCTGACCACTTCACTAACGCTAGATATGAAGTTTGTTAGCTTGTTTTTTTAACAATGACTGGAGAAAATACGATTTTACCTGCACATGTAAAGTCACTCGCTTTCCGGGACCGTGATTGTTATTTGAAAAGGTTAACTTTAATGGACGAAACCAGATAGGTCGAACTGTAATGTTACACACTCGCTCAAAGGATGGACGATCTGACAGGATTACTTCCGGTTGAGTGACTCACATCTAACGTGTATAGTAAAGACAAACTCACCGTGTCTATCTAGTCATGAAGATGTATATACATTTCAGTTTCAGCAGGCAACTATTTTTACAGCTACATTATTATTCCAGCCACAATTAATCACAACAATGTATATACAATTACAAATGATTAAGCATATAAATCGTCAGTTTGTTGTTTTACACACATGCACACAGACAATATTTCATACACAACATAGTCGTGAGATGCAAGACATCTTTACACGCACCCATAACAACAAAAGACAATACTTTATTGAACCTTTTCTGATGAGAAGTGTGCACTGCAAACACAAGCATTTTTGACGATCACTTCTGTCCAGTCTGCTCGTTTTATTGCGTTTAACCACAGCTGTCATCGGTTTTTTGTCTGGCAGTGGCAGCAGGTATGCGATAAAATTTCTAATTTGAGGCTGAATTACGTCGATTCTGGCACCCAACATCACAACAAGATGATATTTTAAGTTCCTTATGTAGCCGAATCTGCGCTGGTTTGAATGGGCAACCTCCAGTTTTCCCTTTGTTTTGCCTCCAGCTAGCGCTGTGACGTAATTGTGACATCGGCCCTAAAAGGGTCTATAGCAGGGATCCTCAAATCTGGCCCACGGGATCCACTTTCCTGCACTGTTTAGCTCTAACCCTAATCAAACACACCTGAGCATGCTAATCAATGTCTTCAGGATCATTAGAAAATCACAGGTAGGGGAGTTTGAGTAGGGTTGGAGCTAAACTCTGTAGCGCATTGGCCCTCCAGGGCAAGATTTGAGAAACCCTGGTCTATAGTGTCAGTTAAAAGCTTAAGATGAAATATGAGACCAGGCCTTGGCGGGGGAGAGGGGTTAAATCCCTGTGCCCCCTCTCTGGACCGAGGGGGATAGTCAGACTTTAGTGTATAATAGTCTAACTCATAGTGTATAATAGTCTTACTGATTGCTTTTAGATGGAAAAGCTGCCGATAACTCCTGGTCTAGGATCTGTTTTCTTCATAATAATAGCATAACGAAATAGATTTGGCTAACAATCCAGTGTATCTGCCCTTCTGCTTTGGAAAGCGTCAAATGATTCTACAATGCATTTTTGCAGAGGTGAGCAACGTAGCCAATCACAGGCATGTTCGTGATGGAGTGACAGTTTAAAGGGAGCGCTCTTTGCATGCTGTATACGATAATATATTCAGAATTTAAATAAAACTTGTGTTTTTCATGCTTGACAAGCGGACACGTACGACACAGAGATAGCTAACTTCTACACTATATAGAAAAACATAATAATTTCAGAAGCACAGAGTGATGTGATTCTGCAACCGAGCCTGGTCCAAACGCAGGATTTAGGTAAGGAAACGCTTATTAATTGTATTGGCTGCCATGCCAAATCATGAACACCTGCTTGCAAAGTGTTTTTGTGAAGGTATATGCTTTAATAACAAATAATTGTAACACTTTATAATAAGGTTGCATTAGTTAATGTTAGTTAATGTATTAAAGTGTTAGTTAATTATTACCCAAATAATGTATTTTGAGCGTTTACTCAAAACTAACCCCCCCACCCCCAATTCGGGCCCCCCAAGAAATATAAAAGCCCCCCACCCCCAAGTCGTGTGTCCTAGCGCCGGCCCTGTATGAGACATGATGTGTGAAGAAACTAAAGAGAAATTAAGATAAATAGGCCTATCCTTTGTGAACATCATATTTTCAGTGTGCATCAAATGATGCAAAATGTGAGAAAATAAATTTTTTTTGTGTGTATTTATTATACAAACTGCTAGCTCAGAAATGAGCCTTAGCAAGACAAAAGGAGTCGGCCATTTTATTCACATAAAAGTTTACAAATTAATTTATGTTACAGAACGTAATTACAACAGGATTTGGTGATGTGTTGGAAATGACACTGTGGCGGGAATTTTCACGACCGACACAAGAGGAGAACAATGAAAGAATTCTGTCGTGATTTATGTATAGACACTGTTGTTAATTGTTAATAAATGAATTACTTAAACTAGTGAGAGTGTAGGCTACATTTATTTTCTAAAGGTCCAAAAGTGCAAATATCAAGTGGCGTTTGTTTTAAAGAAGGATAGCACAGACACACTTTTTACAAGAAGGAGTTTGAAGTAACTTTCTTATATTTTCTTTAACCCCTTTCAGTTCAGTCACGGTCACTGCACAACCTTCAGTCTTCTCGCGTGCTGCGCGCCCTGGAGCATCCGTTCTCCGCGTCGGAGGACTCCAAAATGCTCCCACGCTTCTCTGAGGATAAAAGTATGGCGGCGATAGCGTCGCTGCTGGGAGGACTTCACAGGAGACCAGAATTCACCAATTACGATTCTGAATCTCACAACCACAGTTTAGACCACCATGACGACCATCACCATGGAGACCCCATCACTGGGCATGTAGCAACAGTGACCTTGAATCCACGACGTGGCTCAAGGCAGAGTCCTCATGCTGATGATATGTGAAGGGCAGAAGGGGATTTATCCGGGGATTTGTCAAAACTCCTTTAACAGCGCTTTTGAAGACAGCAGCCAGCCAACAGATTGCTGGCAGCTCTTTTTTCTTTCTTCTTTCTGCTGAAGTAATTTTAAAAGATACAGTACATAGCTGCTTATTTATATATTATCAAACTTTGGATAAAATAACAAGTCCAATTTTATCTGTTGATTTGGAATGCTGGAAATGCATTCGCTCACATTTTAAGCTTGCCTTAAGCAGATAATCTTTACTTTTCGTTAAAATGCAGTGGGGTCCAAACTAAATTTTTTATTTTAAATAATAATTTTTGCGAGAATAACTGGCTGACTGAGTGTACATTATCTTGCTTGTTTATTTAGGCTACATGCTAAAGAAACATGGCATATTGATATGGAATATTTTACAATCTTACCTGTAAATCTTCAGCTATGAAAAAAAATAGTCCACTATACAAGGTACAGAACAATCGGACTAGACGAATGCTGAAATAATATTGCCGTGGAAATATCATAATATTTGGAAATATCAGGCTGCTCAATGATGTGATTGACCAATTAGAACCAAGTATTCAGAGCGTCAAAAGTTGAAGTAAAAAAGAATGAATTCAAAAGTTCAGTGCAAACAATGAAATCTGACTAACATTTTCAAATGTTAAATATTTAATATTTATTTTACTCCCCCCCCCCCCCCCCCACACAGAACCACAACTAGATCCTAGTGAACTGGCTAATTACAGACCCATCTCAAATCTTGCTAAAAATTTTAAAATTTTAAAATTTTAAATTTTTTTTTCCCCCCCCCCCCCCCCAGATTAAAGGTTATTAAATTATTAATTAAAATCCCAGATGTAGCATCACTTTTGGACTCCACTGAATATATTATGGCTGTGATCACTAGAAGTTTGAACCATCTGCTCTGCCAGTGTATTTACTTGTCTTGCACTACAGCTGAGGTGAATAATAATAATACAAAATCAGCTCATTCCAAATCATGAATTTGACATTTTGAATCCTTCAGCAAGTTTGTCCTAAAGTACTGCCTTGTGTTTGTCTTCTCTTTGAAGACAGTTTTGCTTTATGGGTATTAATCTGAAGGCTGAAGTAGTTTTTTATGGACTAAGAACAAGTTAGTGTGCATAATTGCTTTTGATAACAAATCGTGATTTTCAATAAAACGTTGTGTTGAATTGCCTTTCAACCTATTTTATGGGGTTGCTTTGTTGTTGCTTTTTCCAATGTTGTAAAATACATCATATGAAATGGTAAACTCTCAGTCTTCAACTCTGGGTCGACGTCAACACATAAATGCCTTTCAGCACAATTTGGATGTCACGAGAGACAGAATGAGGCCAGTGCAGATGAGAAGAACAGGTGAACAACCTATCTCAGTAAAAACAAATACGAGCATCCTTGACAAATACAGTTCGTATGTGGCTAGACCCATTATCAATGTAAAGGCACTTTATAATCTTTAAGAGATGCACAAATGATTAGACATAAAAGCAGTAGTTTGTGTAGATTTCTATCATATACGAACGAGTCAATAAGTAAATGTCAACTTCATTTTTTCTTTGACATATCAGGGACTGTAAAGTGAATAACCTTCAGTGCTCAGGAATGAGAAAACAGTGTGGGAGGTACTTCAAGTCCCTTTTAGATAAGAAAACTGGGAAAAAATACAAAAGATGTATAGATTATGCATAATCTTGAGCTCAGTAATAATATTCAAATGTAATTGTGTGAACAGGTTTAGCAGGTTCTGATAAAGAACAAACTCTTTTTCAGGAAGGTTTCCATCTTACTCAGTGCCTCTTTAATCATTCAGAGATAAACTTGCATCTTTCATCCACAGGACTGCGGTGTGTCTCTTCGCTTTGATGTCTCCCTTGGGCCCCTGGCCTCCAGGTCCGCACGTCTATTGCACCTGTCTGAGAACTGCATTTTTACTTGATTAATCTGGCGCTGATTTGATGCACAAAGTTTGTACAAATACATTTCAAACTCTGTGCTCCTCAAGGCAAAAATTGTGCAATTCCTGGCGCAGTAATCTTCTAAATGAACCCAACAAAGACGAAAGACTCCATAGTCTGAAATCAATAAGTTATCACTTTCATTGTGTGGATTTCTGAGTTACTTTCAAGATTTATGGGTTGCAATTAAAAGTCTGTGTGTGTGACTGAAGTTATCATGGATGGAAAGAGAAAGACTGAAATAAATTGGAGTAATTGAATTGGAGTGAATTAAATTGGAGGTGGGCTCAGAACACGCAAGCACGTATAGAGTGAGAAAGATGAAGTGTCTCTGTGTGTGAGAGAGAGAGAGAGAGAGAGAGAGAGAGAGAGAGAGTGAGTGAGTGTGAGAGAGAGAGAGAGAGAGAGAGAGAGAGAGAAAGTGAGTGAGTGAGTGTGTGTGAGAGAGAGAGCAATAGATTTTAATAGATTTTGTTTTTAAAATACTACATGCCAAGATTAGATTGCATACTTTTTGTATAAAATTATAAAAAATATGATCTTTGTATGAATTTTTTTTAGATTTTTCTACTCTAAATCGTATTGAAAATGTATATAGCCTATATAAATTTATATAACTAAATATATAATTTAGTGGATGCTGATTTTAGAGAAGCCATAATATAGAATACATAGAAGAATATACTATATACAATATTATATATATATATATATATATATAAAGTATATAGTATATATATAGACACTTTCTAAACAGTACGATTTTTAAGAAATCGAAACTAAATGTCAAATAGCACTTATATTTTCTATAATGCATTATTGATATTGTGACAAAAGATTAAGTGACATATTGACATAGCTTATATTTGAGGTATTTTAAGCTATAATGCATTTATCCAAAACAACATTCCTGTATAAAACCGAATCGAAGTCATTGAGCTTCATCCCTATGACTTTTAAAAACTTTAACATTCATTTAGTATTACGAACCACAACACGTAAAAGCTAGGTTTCATTACGCACCGCGTATATGTATGCATCCGACATAAAAGCGGCGCGCTGCTGACGCACGTCATGCTCATCGGAGTATAAAAGAATGTGCGCGCGATGTAGAGCGCACAGAGGTGCGCGAGAGAGAGGGACTGATGAGACGGCGCTCTCGCAGCCGGTGAAGTAATTACACATGCCGGCAGACAAAGTGCGGTGGTCACAATGAACTTGAGATAAATTACATGAATGGATTCGTTTCTCCGTTTGCATCATTTCACCATTACAACGGACTGAGTGGGAGCCTGCCATGGAGAGGAATAACACCACACAAACTCTGGAGCTGGGAGAATGTGAGCACACACTGGACACCAGTGCGGTGCTGGACAACTGTACGGACGCTGCCAGCGGGAACTTGTCTTTACGCTGCTGGCTGCATTTGTTGACAAAGGAGTCTAGTTCAACGCTACAAGGTGATGGGTCTAGTTTGGCTGTGCGTGTGATGATCGCCCTCATTTATTCAGTGGTGTGCGCTCTGGGACTTGTAGGCAACTCTCTGGCGCTCTACCTGCTGCACTCACGCTACCGGCAGAAGCAGTCTTCCATCAACTGCTTTGTGATGGGTCTGGCTCTAACCGACCTGCAGTTCGTCCTAACCCTACCGTTCTGGGCCGTAGACACAGCATTGGATTTCCGCTGGCCCTTCGGCAAAGTTATGTGCAAAATCATCAGCTCGGTCACCACTATGAACATGTACGCCAGCGTATTTTTCCTGACCGCCATGAGCGTGGCCAGGTACTATTCCATCGTGACCTCGCTGAAGATGCACAGTCGCCGAGCAGCAGCGGCTGCGGCCAAGTGGATCAGCTTGGGCATTTGGGTCGTCTCCTTGATAGCAACTCTTCCACATGCAATTTATTCCACGATAGCCCAAGTTGCGACAGACGAGGAGCTGTGCTTGGTCCGCTTCCCTGAAACGGGAAGCTGGGACCCGCAGTTGCTGCTAGGACTGTATCAGTTGCAAAAGGTCCTGCTTGGGTTTCTGATCCCGCTGGTGGTGATCAGCGTTTGCTATCTCTTACTTCTAAGAATCGTGCTAAGCCGTAGAATTAGCGGCGTGGCGGGCTCTGAAAGTGAGCAGGGGCGGCACAAGCGGCGCTCGAAGGTCACCAAATCGGTTGTGATCGTCGTCCTGTCATTCTTCTTGTGTTGGTTGCCCAATCAGGCCCTGACTCTGTGGGGCGTCCTTATTAAGTTCGACCTGGTGCCCTTCAGCAAGGCCTTCTACAATGCCCAGGCATACGCTTTCCCGCTGACTGTGTGCTTGGCCCACACAAACAGTTGCCTCAACCCAGTGCTCTATTGCCTGATCCGCCGCGAATTCCGGGCCGGACTCAAAGAACTCCTGCTGATGGCCACGCCGTCCTACCGAAGCTTTGCCCGGCTGCTCCCACGCAAAGCCAAAGTAGCCGAGGCGCCTCCTGTACTGGTTCTTGTGCAGATGGATGTTTGAAAAAGGCAGATCCTTCACGTTCATCTTGGTTTTTGATTGACAGGACGAAGCAGGCGTGAGGAACGTCCTTTGGGAGCTGCCCCACTTTCCCTTCTGCTCGTTCAGAAACACTTTTGCGCATTTGTCTTTCTCTCTCAACTTCCACGTACCTTTTGGTGCGCAGCCACTTTCACATGCACCTCCGGTCATCAGAGCCCTTGAGAATTCAGGACCCATTCACCTTAGTTTGCTTTGCAGCATATTAGTAGCACACCTTAAGGATTTTTTTCTCCGAGACATTCTTCAAGGGAGCGATAAATTATCCATGTGTGTTTTTCAGGCTTTGAAAAAAGAAGAAAAAAATTTTGAGATGTAGAAGGGTCTAGTCTTCTCTTATTTTATGAGATCACCGGTTAACACATCAATCATTCAGTACTCTGTCAATTATGAATTTACTTGCAGTTGTGTAGAATTTAATGAAGTTTCACACCTTGATTAGTCTTTCAGTGTATTTAAATCTTATGTTGTACAAAAAAATAAACTAATAAAATACCTATGTAGCTAACTAACAAAATAATACTTTTGTGAATTAACATTGACCAGCCAAACTGTGCAAGTGATGATGATTGATTTGAAAGAGAAAATTCTCTTATCTCTTTTCAATTTGACCTATAACTGTGTGTTTCCAATTCATTTAAATTAGTATTAAACCATATATATGTATTGTTTATAAATACACCACAATAGATTACCACATTTGAGCCATTAAGGGAT